GTTATTTAAATTGTATGTCTGATGTTGATTTAACATTGTTAAATGGTATCTAGCAAGAAATCTATTCCTTTCTAATACTTTTCAACTTTGTGGAGTAAAAGTTTTTAAAGTATTACCTAAGGGTTCTCAAGATTTCCTTCAAGTCTGTTGTTATGCCTCCTTTTTCATTTCTGATTTTATTGATTTGGATATTCTCTCTCTGCTTTTTTTAGTCTAGATAAGGGTGTATTTATTTTGTTGATTTTTTTTTCAAAGAAACAACTCTTTGTTTCTTGATTCTTTATATTGTTCTCTTTGTTTCTATTTTATTGATTTTAGCTCTCAGTTTGATGATTTTCTCCTATCGACTCTTCTTGGGTGTGTCTGCTTCTCTTCATGCTAGAGCTTTTCCATGTGCCTTACAACCACAGCTGTCAGCTGGGCAGTGATGAAGCACACCTTTAATCCCCGCTAGAGGAAGGCAGAGGTAGGTGACTCTGGGAGTTCGAGGTCAGTTTGATCTACAAAGTGAGTTCCTGGACAGCTATGACACTTTCACAGAGAAACCCTGTCTCAAAAAAGCAAAAGGAAAAAAAAAGTTTCACAGTTGTCATTGTGCATATAGAACATGAGCAAAATAGATAATTATTAAATTATTATCCTCACCAGAACTTGGACAAGCCTGTCACAATTGCCTGACAAGTTCTCTGATCACAGTAGGACAACTCAGGAGAAAATCTGTCACTTCTCCAATAATTGATTCAAGAAAAAAAAAACACAAGTTCATTTTATGTTTTAATAAATTATAGTACAATATTACATAATCTTCAGTGTTATTCCGACCTGCTTATTTTATTATGTTGTAGTATATTATTATTATCCTCAATGTTTGTTTTCATGTGTTTATCTTATGTTTTATTATACTATATTCTATTAATATATTGTCATCCTCACAACTTAACTTATATTCATCTTCCTTCCTTTGGTGTAAAGAGTTTATGTATATGTGCATATATTTATATATGTATATGTGTTTATGTGCTTTGCATTATGTGACTTTTTAGAATGCATCATTGAGTGTTGAAAGTTATTGAATAAGTTAAATTATAAATTCAAATTTCCAATTGATTTCTGTAATTCCCATTGCTGTTTCTAGTTACTAATGCAATCATCCAGCAACTGAAGAGGGTCACTGGTGGTTCATTCATACCTTCTTTATGTAAATGAGCAATGCTTAATTAAATCACTGCATTTGAAAATGTTTATAAATCATCATTTGCAGTTTTGTATAAATATACACGAAGGAATTTTATTTTTAAACAGACTCTTATATATGAAAAATTATATGTGATACATCAATTTTTAAAAGATGGTTAAGCCTCAGGACCAAGCCATAATGATAATTTATTTTGAACAATATTTGCACAATAGGATTCTTTCTTTCAATGGTGGCAAGAATAGGAGGAGAAAAGGCACAATGTAGTAAATCTCTGGAAGATGGATAGACTGTATGGTGGCAGATGTTTCTATTATAGTAGACCTATAAGGTGAGAAGTTCCAAAACAGGATTTGGAGTAGTTGTCAAAGGAATGACTCTATTGATATATTGTACAGGTTATTCCTCAACTTTTCAGGATCCCACAGCATCACACTTTGGAAAAAATTACTGCATGTTATGCTGGGAGACACTTCACAAATAAATCCAAAAATTTCATACATACATAAGACTCATAGACTCATAAGACCCATAAGACTCATAATGTAAACTGCATTTAGTGCAACGTGGAGTGACCCCATTTGCTTAACCTTTCTAACAATGTAAAAAAGTCTGAAGTTCAAAGTCTTTTCTGAGTATCAAGGTTTTGATCCTTTAAAAAAATCAAAATGAGTGTTGAGTCTTTATACCATACAGTATCATTTTAAGTAATGGTAAGAAAAATCTTGACCAACACAAGAATGATTACCAATGGGAAAAATACAACATAATGTGACTCTTGGTCCAGTAACTGGGAAATATGATTGCATGAAATGAACTCCAGAGGGCACAGGTGCAGCCTTTTCAGCCTTCAGTCCTGCAGTCCACCTGCCTGGTCTCTCGGGCTTTTCCACTTGTTGACTGCAGGGTTCCTTACACACACCCACATGTCTGGCATCTCCAGCATCCTTACATGTCCTTATAGACTTCAACCTCACTCTCATGAATAGCTTACTCTGGAGCTTCCAGTATGGAAACTTACTACATATTACCTGAACAACACTGCTTTATTCAAAATATTAGTACAAGCTTTAATGTCTCCATTGCCCTTGTCCTTATTAGCTTTGGTCAACTTGACAGCGTAAGGTTGCATGAGTCTCAACTGATTGGTAAGACTATGTTTGTCAGTGGCCATGTCTGTGAGAGATGAACTTCATTGATCAATGATCTGAGCATGATGTATCACACTATCTTAGGCTAGATCCCAGGAGAGTTAGTCCTGGCTGTGTAAGAAAACTAGATAATGAAGACAGAGTGAAAATCAGCATGTCATGTTTCTCTGTTTTTGGTTTTGAATTCTTGCCATATGTGTCCTCAGCTTTGGATAAATATGTGGAAGTGGAAGTAAAGCCAAGTAGACACTCTCCTCCTCAAAGTTCAGAATGATGTATTATAGGATCAGGAATGAATCTAGAACACTTGCTTTCCACATGCTTAGAAACTATGGAAGCACAGACAAGACTGGTCCTGCTGCCAGCTTGAGCAGTGGCTGGGATTTCACACTATAGCTATAGTAGCTTCTCAGTACTGGGGGTGGAGAGAAGCCAGAAAATCAATTTTCCAATCTCTCTCTTCTAAAATTGTTCAAAAAAATATATCTTATCTGAATCACAATTTTGTTTTCTACAAAATAAAGCACATAGTTGTGTCACAATACAAGGTCATACAAATAAAATAAGAAAATACACATTGTTTTATTAAAGTTTTATTTTCCATTTAATTTTCAGTAATAACTTTTGCTGCTAAAAGTGTGCTTTTACAGAACCCAAATTAAGGCTAAAGTGTTAAGATCATGACTACTGCACAGTATTTAAAGTAGATTGAATTGTATCACACTGACATCACTAAAAAGAAACATCTCACAAGTAAAGCAGAATCCTATTCATTGTAATACTTCCCTTAACTGAAGTTATTTCTGTCAGTATCTGAAATGTCTTAGGATAAAATTCTAATATCTGTGCTCTTCAAAATCCACAAAATTATGACTATACAATGTGATTATTAATATCCTGATAATAGAAAAATCGTAGAAATTCACAGAAAGCAATATTCTTAAAGAATGAGAATAACACGTCATCTTTTACTTTTTCATTTTTGTGTTTTTGAGACAGGGTTTCTCTGTGTAATAGCCTTAGCTATCCTAGAACTCTCTGTAGACCAGTGTAAGGGGCATGTAAGCAGAAGCCATGATGTAAGCATCTGGAGTGCAGTGCAGAGATAAACCCTAAAAGGAGTGTGCTGTGATGGGAAGATAATGATAAGAAATGGAAGGATAAAGCTACGACCCAGAACAAAGCAGACAGAAGCCGCCAGATGCAGTAACGATGGACCTTGTCCTCTGCCAGATCCTGAAGCAAGAACTGCCCGACCCCGTCTCTTCTCATCTCGGCTGATCAAAGATCCCACAGAGTAATCCAGAAAGAAGAAGAAGAAGACATCCGAGCCCGACCACCTGATCACTGTGTCGTGATAGGTATACTAGGTATTCCATGTCCATCTGACCCTACTGATGTGTATGTATGTGCTGATTTAATGTTGAATACATGAATTAACCACACTGTATTGCAGCACGCCGCTCCCGCCAGCAGAAGAGACGACCGCAACAGGATTCTTCTCAGAACACACTTTATTGGAGCACTTACACTTGAGGTTGTAGAGAGGCAAAAGACCCCGTCCCCGTGAAGCAGAAGAATATATACGGTGCCAGACAAAGCCCTGACGTGTCATCAACCCAATGGCTCAGGCCAGAATGGAGTGAT